TGAGCCCTGGAGAACAGCCCAGCAAGGACATGGAGCTGCTGGAGAGAGTCCAGAGGAGGCCCCAAGAGGATCCCAGGGCTGGAGCAGCTCTGCTGGGAGGAAAGGCTGGGAGAGCTGGGATTGTTCAGCCTGGAGAAGAGAAGCTTTGAAGTGACCTGATTGTGGCCTTGCAGGGATGGAGAGAGACTATTTCCAAGGGTCTGGAGGGACAGGACAAGGAGGAATGGATTTAAACTGCTGGAGAGTAGGGTTAGATGGGATATTGGGAAGGAATTCTTGGCTGTGAGGGTGGGGAGGCCCTGGCAGAGGGGCTGTGACTGCCCCTGGATCCCTGGAAGTGTCCAAGGCCAGGTTGGACAGGGCTTGGAGCAACCTGGGCTGGTGGAAGGTGTCCCTGCCCATGGCAGGGGGTGGAATGAGATGATCTTTGGGATCCCTTCCCACCCAAACCAGTCTGTGGTTCCACAAACTTGGAGATCTTGCTCCTGAGGGGAGATGGGACTGATCCTCCAGCAGGAATGAACCTGGCAGTGTTGTGGGGCACACTCAGATGTCAGAGAGCTCCTGAGGAGCTGGACCTGCAGGCTGCCCTGGACTCAGGCTCTGTCCTCTGCTCACAAGATGTGTCAAGTGTAAGGTGACAGTAAGATTTCCATCTAAGCTTCCCCAGAAAAACTACAGATGTTCCCCTGTTCGAGGCATTTGAAAGTAAAACAGCCAGAGGCACTTTTTACACGCTCCAGGAAATTCTCTATCAGCAGGGAACAGGTTCTCTCTCTTTTGACAGCCTTCCTTCCCTGAGGAAGCAGCGTTTTCTAAAGCCCACAGAGCAGACCTGCCCCCCCCCTCCCCGCTCTCAAAGCAGCCCGTGTTTTAAATCTGTCTATTAGATTTTCTTCCTAAATTGTTTTATCCTCCTCTCGAAAACCCAAACAATTCCCAGACAGTGACTCGTGCTGACTAATCCAGTCTGGGAGCCTTCTAGGTGTCCCTGTAACTTAAAACCAGAAAACAAGCTTCCTAATTCGGTAGCTAGACATTCCAATGGAGACCTGCAGGTTCGGAGCTTTTTATTTTCCTTCTCCTCGGGGTTAAACACGCTTTTATCTCCCCGGTGCCTCCCTCCCCCAGCAGGCAGGAGTTGAGATGAGCTGTAATTCGGGCATTCCTTCCCTGCCTACACTTAAAAGTTCTGCTCCACGGGGCAGCCCAGTGGCAAAGCTCCCGTGAGCCCTCAACCGAGGCAAACAGGGAGGGAAGGTAGTGCCCAAAATAATAGTTGAGACATCCCCAAATCACTGCGAGAAGCCCAGTGATGAAAAAAAAAAGATGCGAGGCCGCGGAAAAATTGTATTTTTGGCCCATTTACAATACTGGGCTGAGTCATATTTTAGTCATGTCTGGAAACCACAGGGCCATGACAAGACCTTGCAGTCTGACAGTCGCAGTGGGGACAGACTTCCGAGCTCTGAGCAAGGTCTGTCTGGGGGAAGATAATGGGGTTTATTGTCTGTGCTGTGAGCCAGTAACCTGAATTTCCCTTCAGAAAAAAAGGGATATCGCTCCCGGGCTCTGCACCACGGATCCAAGCTTGTCTTGCCACCGAAAAGAGGGAAAAAGGTGACCCTCCTGTGTCACTTTTCCAGGCTGGATGAGTGGCAGGGATGGTGTTTGAGGAGCAGCTCTTGCTCCCAGGCCGGTTCTGGAGCTTCCTCGTTTCACAAGGCAAACAAAGAGCAGGCAGGACAATGGCCTCTGTAATTAAAGGTCATTAAGAGCCACAAGAAGTCAACAACCTTTTTGCATTGACCCCTCCAGCCGCCTCCAGCCTTGGTCTTCATCCCCTTCTCTGCCCTTCCCTCTTCCTCCCTCTCAGTTTGAACCCAAACTGGCCCGGTGGGGTCACCTCGAGTGCTGAAGGGTCCCAGAGAGCTGCCCTATGAGAAACAAAATATGATTTTTTTTTATAGGTATATCCTGAAGTTGTGAGATATCCACGTTCCAAACCGGACCTGGGCATCGGGGTCTTTTTCAGCCTGATAAGGGAAATATAAAAGTTCCTAAAAATTAAAATTAAAATCTTTCAGGGCCACGTGGGAATTTTGTACCCAGAATTTTCTTTTCTCTCTTTGGGTTAAAAGAAGAAAGGAAGATCCATCATTTTTTTGACAACCAATTGGAAGGAAGGGAAAGCCCCTTTTTCAGAGAAAAGAAACCTTTTTAGGCAGAAACAAATATATTAAATTTATCTTAAAAAGGGCGGGATTTTGTTAAACTGTAAAATGCTTGAAAATTAAATGCAAAGGGTCTTTCTCGGTGTGAGACCAGACCCAGTGTGCTGAATAAATCCTTTCTTTTTTGTTTCATGAGTTTTTGCTGACTTTCTAAATTCAAGGCAGAGATATTTCTCCCACCCATGGGCTCTCTGGGACCCCCTTTTCCAGCTGCCCTGGGAAAGGAGGGAGGTGGAGGGGCAGGAGAAGGATCTGCCCACCCTGAGCTGGATCCCTGTGGGAACTGGGGGGTTTGGGGGTGAGAAAAATTTCTCCCTTGAATTTAGAAGGACGGCAAAAAACCTCATGAAACAAAAAAGAAAAGATTTATTTATGGGTCTGGTCTCATACCGAGTTTTTCAGGGAGAAAAAGACCCCTTGAGTTTGAATCTCATGCATTTTACACTTTTACAAAATCCCACCCTTTTCTGGATAAGTTTAATATGTTCATTTTTGCCTAAAAAGGTTTCTTTTCCTCCAAAAGGGGCTTTCCCTTCCTTCCAATATTCTGTGAGGCATCCTCTGTCAAAAATTATGGATTTCCTTCGTTCTTAACCCAGAGAGAAAAAGAAATCTTTGTGTTCAGGATTTTGCCAAATGGCCCAGAAGGATTTTAATTTTTAGGAACTTTTATATTTCCCCTCTCTGACCAAAAAAGACCCCGATACCTGATCCAGTTTGGAACTTGGGCACCTTAAAACTTCACGATAAACCTATAAAAATCCATATTTTATTTCTGATATGGGGGTCTGAGGGACTCTCCTGAGCTGTGCTGCCAAGGAGGACGTGGCCTTTCCCACAAGGACAATCAGTGGGATCCATGGATGTGGCCTTCCCTTCCTCTGCTGCTCCGTCCTCCCCACAACAAACCCGGATATTTCTGCTGAGATGCCCTCGGGTGTCGTATTTTTGGGGTTTGTTTTGACTGGGGCTATTTGGGGCTTCTTTCCCTGAACAAAACAAACCCTTGCTCTGCTTCGTCATCCCCCTCCAAAGGGCTCGGGGGTGTCACGGGGGAAGGAGAGGAATCCACAGGGTGGTTCCTTCAGAAATGTGAGGGCAATATTTTGGGATAACGCTGGATTGTGCTGGAAAGAAATGTCAGGGATGTGTGTCAGTGTTTCCACCTCTAAAGAGGCACCTGGAATTCGGTGCCTCTTAGCCCTAATTTAAAAAAGATTATGTGAATTTTTTCTCGGTGCCTCGGCCCTGATTTTAAAAAGATAATGGGAATTTTCACTTGAGAGATGGAGGGTTTCCCTACCAGTTGTCAGAAGGAAAATATACCTTTAGTAGTTTGATTTGTAGCTGGTCTTTCACTGCACTGAGAGGAACAAATGAAATATATAAAGTATATTTAATATATAATATATATTATACAAAATATATATAAAATATATTACATATTAAATATACTTTATATATTTATAAATACTTATATTTATATATATTTTATATACTTATATTTATAATTACTTTATATATTAAATATATATTTAATATTATATATATTAAAAATATTATATAATTATTATATATAATATTGTTTGTTTTCTCTTTAAAAAAATGAAGCAGTAGTGTAATGAAACATTAATGGGTGTGCAATGCTTTTAAAGTGAGGAAAAAAACCAGAGCAAATATTGAAAGTTCATTTGAAATACATATATTTATATATAAAATCTTTGAAAACTTTAAACTTTACACAACACATTACATTATATTAAAGAAGCTTTAAAGTAGTATCCTTCTACACAATAATATATAATAATTATATATATTATATATAAAATATATTTTATATATATTATATATAATATATATATAAATATATATATTATATATATTATATAGATAGATAGTAATATTTTGTCATATTTTATATATAAAATATATTACAACCTGGGCTGGTGGAAGGTGTCTCTGCCCATGTCAAGGGGTTAAAACAGATGATCTTTAAGGTCCTTTCCAACCCAAATCATTTTGTGATTCCATGATTATTGTGTAGAAGGATACTACTGAAAGCTTCTTTAATATAATGTAATATGTTGTGTAAAGGCCAGTTTTAAGAGATTTTATATATAAATATATGTATTTCAAATGAACTTTCAATATTTGCTCTGTTTTTTCCCTCATTTTAAAAGCATTGAATGCCCATTAATGTTTCATTACACTACTGCTTCGTTTATTTAAAGGGGAAACAAACAATTCATCTTATAGTATTATGACCTCAAACTGCCTGTTTTGGTGCTGCTGGAGGAGGGTTCAAACCATCGGTGTCAAAAAGCATCCAACCCAAGAAACAAAAGATGAGGGAAAATAAGAGCTGTAGATGACCTTGAAATATGGAAATTTAATCAAGAAATCAATGAAATTATTGGACTTCCATGCCTGCAAAGTCTCATTTCATAGAATCCCAGAATCCCAGACTGGTTTGGGTTGGGAGGGACCTTAAAGATCATCTCATCCCACCCCCCTGCCATGGGCAGGGACACCTTCCACCAGCCCAGGTTGCTCCAATCCAGGATTTCCCTGCTATTTTGGTGCCCTGTTGTATTACAGATCTATCACCAGGTTACTCCCCAGCAGGAAAACACCATTTTTGTTAAAACCCAAAGAAATCAATGCACAAAAAAAGTAGGGCACCCTGTCAACACCCTTCTCCTGGTGTCTCTTTTTTCTCTGGAGAGGTTTGTTTTCTCCCCAAGGAAAGAACTCACCAGGCCCGTGTGCATACTTGTCAAACATTTTATTTGTCATTCACACTAATTATGATACTGAATTTACAGAGGAAACTGTGGTACAAAGAAAGAAAGAAAGAAAAAGAAAAGAAAGAAAAGGTCTTCATTAGAACTAACGCAGCAGTCCAGCTGCCCCGGGTGTAGTTGTAATGAATTCTCCTGTGGTGCTGGACACAGGACAGCAAGAGTCTGACCTGGCATTCAGAGAACTTCCTGCAGTGGGGGGGAAAAAATCCACTCTATTCTCTTTTCCTATCTTCTTCCAAAAAAAAAAAAGACAGCAGCCACTCCCTCCCTCCCTCCCTCCCCGAGAGGAAAAATCCCCTGTGATCAAACCCTCGAAAAAAACCCCCCAAAAAAAGCCAACTTCCACAAGCTGGTGGTTTCCCCTTTCTGGAAATGTTTTGTAAACATAGCCAGAAAATGCTGAACAGATGCCCTTTGGGGCCTGCTGTGTCCTCACCACCTCACCCTGGAAGTTCAGCTTTTTGTTGGAAGGAGAGATGGAACCGAAATCCCGCAAAAAACCCGCGGATTTTCTGCACGTTCATTTGTCCCCTCCCACAAAAAAAGTGAAGGATGTTCTTGGATAAGAGACCATGCTATAACTGTTTACAAAAGTGAATTAAATGTAGTTCATCTTGAAGCCTGAAAAATAACCCATTGGGAAAAAAACAAGTCTCAGTACAGTATTTAAGCGAACACAAAGGTAAGTTCATTAAAAACACGGAAAAATGGGAAAACAAACAAATGAAAAAAAAGGCAGAGCAATTACAAGCACTAAATATCTTGCTATGAAGCTTTTGAAATCTATTTACAGACATAAATACAAGTAACTCTGTCGATGCAACCCTTTTTTAGGACAAGGAGAAAAATGCCGAGTGGTTGGTACTGACCGAGCGAAGGTTAACAAAAATAAAAACACGAGGCAGGAAAACAAGGATCCACTTCTCCCTGAATCTTCAAAACACACCAAACAATGGAAAAGGTCACCCAGAAAGCAGAAACGAAGGTTTCAAGAGTGCAGGTAACTGGGAACACTTTGGAGGGGTTTGGAGGGAAGAGTTTCTCTCCTTCCCAAGTGGAGAATTTGGCTGAATCCTACAAATCCAACCCTTTGTGGTGAGGATGGACTTTGCATCCACCCATCCTTTAGCTCCTGGAAGTGAGCAGGAGGCTCTTAAATGAACATAAATGTTGTTGGAGAGGGACATCTTTGGCCTCAGAGCCGGTGAGAGCCGGGCCCTGTGTTTAGTTGGAAGCTGTTTGACGTGGCTGGATCCGGACAGGGAGTCGTGTCTTGTGAAAGGAACACCCAAGCTGACAGCCAGGACTGCCCTGAGCTCCATTTTGGGAGGGGAAGGCACCTAAACCACTCCCTGACTGCAACAGCAGGAGCACAACAGCTCTGTTTTTTTAATCCCATCCAGCTCCCGGGGTGATAAAACTATATAAATACATATATTTTATATATACATATATAAATATATACTTATACACTCTGATTTGGAGATGTGGATGGGGCAAATGTTCTCTCCAAATGTCCTTTTTCTGCCTGCTAAGTGCTCTTGAGACACAACAGGAACAAAGTGAGGGCATTTTCACTGCCTTGAAGATCTTTGCTTGTCCTTGGTGGGTTGTGGGGTGGCTACGAAAACATAGATTTGGGTAAACTGTGGTTTACACAAACACTGAAACCCACAGTGATTGCCCAGATTAATTGCCAGGGATAATGAACTTGGTGTTTCCTCCCTCAAGGGGGTGATGCTTCGTCTTGACATGCACAGAGAGGTTGGACTCCAAAATTTAGTTGCTTGAAATCACCACGAGGGAGACAGTGGGAAATCCCAGTAAAGTGTCAGTGAGACACTGGGGAAGTGTGGTGACCAGTTCTGTGGTTCCTCACCCCCCTTCACACCAGGGAGAGCAAAACTGAGCTTCAACTTAAGGACAAGTGTGGAAAAAGTGGATGGGAAGACTTAAAATGTTCTGATCTCCAGGCTGAGGGATGCCCAACTCTTGGATTCTTGGGAATCCCTGATCTTTTAGTTTCAAAAGTGGGTGGTTTGAAATACTGGTGGCCAGAAGGGGCAAAGGGCTTTAGCAGGAAGGAGGTTGTGGTGACCCGCAGGCCTGGGAGTGTGGTGATCATTAACCTCCCTTTGGTGACCACATAAATCTCACTTGGGTGGCCACAAAAACCCCACTGGGGTACCACAACAACCTCACTGGGGTGACCACAACAACCTCACTTGGGGTGACCACAACAACCTCACTCGGGTGACCACGAAAACCTCACTTGGGTGATCTCAATAACCTCCTTTTGGTGGCCATAACAACCTTCCTTTGGTGACCACAACAACCTCCCTTCTGCCACTGGGCTGAACTCAAAGAATCATGGAGTAGTTTGGGTTGGGAGGGATCTTAAAGATGATCCAGTTCCATCCCCTGCCATGGGCAGGGACACCTTCCACCAGCCCAGGTTGCTCCAAGCCCCGTCCAACCTGGCCTTGGACACTTCCAGGGATCCAGGGGCAGCCACAGCTTCTCTGGGCAACCTGGGCCAGGGCCTCCCCATTCTCAGAGCCAAGAATTCCTTCCCAATATCCCATCTAACTCTGCTCTCCTTCAGCTTAAGGCCATTCCCCTTGTCCTGTCGCTCCATGCCCTTGTGGAAAGTCCCTCTCTGAGTCTCCTGGCCATGGCAGCCCTTCCCTCCTCCGAGCTCCTCTCCCTCCCTCCTGGGTTCCCCTCCCAGCACTTGGGTGGTCCAGTCACAAGGCAGATGTGGGAGCTGTAATAAATGAAGATTTTAATTGCACAGTCCCAGAGAACCTGTGAGATACACCAAGAGCTACTCTTTAGTGATGAAGGACTTGTTATTTTTTAAGCTACTGAAGAGGTGAAGAGTCCAACTGTGGAAATGTCACAATGGGTAAAGTCTCTGTATTTCTGCATTCAGCCAGGTTTTCAGACTTCCAAAATATATTTTTTAGTAATCTGATATAATTTTGAGGTTTTCTGCCTTTTTTTTTTTGGTTCGGAGCAAACTCTGGGAAATTATAAAGGATATCCCACTAAATGAGAAGCACAAGGCCACGTGTGTGTTTTATCAGAAACAGTTTGGACATTTGCTGGGATCTCTTGAAACACTCCCTGTTTTCTGCACACAAAAAAATGACCTTTTTGACAAGGTAAAGTCTTCGATTCGGAACTTTTCGACACCAAAGTGCTACTGCATCTGATTTAAACAAAGAAGCAAAATCATATACACATAAAAAAAAGAAAGAAAAAAAAGAAATCTCGAAAAACAAATGGTTTTAAATAAATCCAGCTGTTTTGCTGCCTGCAGCCAAGGATCTTTTTAATTCGAACCCTTTTAACTTTTTCTTTTTTTTTTTTTTTACAACATCAAACACTGATCTGAAGCCCTGCTTTCAAATAACTCTCTGAGTTGACCTGCAATTGTTTTCACTCCTTTCAAGAGGTACATTAAATAACAATCAGCTCGTTTGGGCAGTTTGGGCACGAGGAGGAGCAGCACAGGGACCGCCCTCGGACCAAACCCTCCCAATCAAACAGTGCCCTCACATAAAAAATAAACTTTACAGTGACATCTGATGAAGGACGGGCAGCGGTGACGGCTCCGTGCCACACGTGCCGTGGTGGTGGGAGCCTTGTGGACCTTCTACCTGGTCTGCACCAGCTTTGCTTGCCCTCAGGAGATGGTGATGGGCTTTCCTAGTCCTTTCCAGATGGACTGGACAACCCTGCTCAGTTATTTCTGGGGATCTCTTTTCCCAGCAGGCTGGAATCCTGATTCTGCTGAGCTGGGAGCAAATCCCACACGGATCCCACCAGAGCCAGGACTTCACCCTGGCAGTGCCTAAAATGAACCATGGAGTGGTTTGGGTTGGAAGGGACCTTAAAGACCATCCAATCCAACCCCATGCCACGGACAGGGAGCCGTCCACTAGACCGGGTTGCTCAGAGCTCCGTCCCAACTCGGCCTTGGACACTCCCAAAGATGGGGCAGCCACAAATTCTCTGGGAAACCCGTTCCAGTGCCTCACCACCCTCAAATTTGCGGGTTGGTTCTCACTTCTGAAGGACCAGGAGGCCACCACTGGCACCGTTGGGAAGCCCAGGCAAGCCCGGGAGCAGAGCGGGGCCGTTAATTAGGGAATTCCCCGTTAATTAGGGAATATTGAATCTGCCTCATGGAATACCTACATCCTGCTCCCTGATCCTGAGGGTCACTGCTGGCGACGAAGGAAAAGTGTGGGAGCAAATAGGGAGAGATGACTCCACTGAAATTCCCGGGGATTTTGGTGCCTTCCGGCGGGAATTTGGCACCTCAATGCCTTTGGGAATCTGAGCCCAGCAAGCTGAGAGTGAGATAATTGTAAACAACATTTCTAGGTAATTAGGAGGTCACTTTACCCATCGTTATCCAGCCTTTTTCCATGGGATAAATTTGACTTTGGCTGCTACCAAAAAAAGGCAATTGCTGATATTTTTTTTTTTTTAATATAGGCACATTTAAATAATAATAGTATCAACAAATAAGAAAAGTCTAAATATCAAGCATAAATATCAATGAACTCATCAAAGAAGTACAGTAGTTGAAAATGACCCAAGGCTGTAGCCATTGTGGTAAAAAAAAAAAAATAGAAGTCCAAGAGATAAAAAGTTAAATTAACTCATTGAAAAAGGGGCTGATTCTTTCAGTTGACAAAGCAAGAAAGAAGCGAGCGTGATTAAAACAAAACAAAACACAAAAAAGAGCAAAATCTTTTGTCTTTGCAATTTATAAGGTGCCAAGAGAAATTAGATGCAAAGCAGGATGAGCTGCATCCTAAAAAAAAAAAAAAACAAACCCAAAACAACAAACCCCAAACAAAACAAAACAAAAACCCCCCAAAAAACCAAAACCCCAGCCATAAAAAATTCCGTATTCTTTGGAATACACAACGTGGTTTAAAAAAAAAAAACAAACCAACAAAACAAAGCAAAGAAAGAACGAAGTCCGACGTATAAAAAAAACCCTCTCATTCACAGCATTGCTAAAACAGGAGCGTTCACAGTTTCCCTCTGGGAATCTTCCTATACTTGCTTACAGTTAAAATGTCCATAAGATGCAGTAAACTCACTATGGGGTTTTTTCTTTTTTTTTTGTGGTTTTTTTTGTGGGTTTTTTTGTTGTTTTTTTTTTTTAGTTTTTAAGTCTTAAAAATAGAAGTGAACCGAAAAACACTCTCTCTCTCTCTCTTTTTTTTTTTTTTGTGTGGAGACCTTCATAAGCCCAGGAGACAAACCTTCCAACCCACCCTCCTCTCTACCTGCTGGTGGCCACCAAACCGGGGCGTCCTCCTTCCCCCCAAGAAGCTCAGGGATGTCCTGGTGCTTTCTCCAGGGGCTCGACCGGGCTGTGCCACAGCTCCTGGGAGGGTTTGCTCCTCAAACTGATGGCAGGAGGGCATCGGTGGGATACCCACGAGCACCGGGAAAGCGCGGCAGTCCTGCCCCTCCGGGGAAGCTCCCGGAGGGGGGAATCAGTAGGGCCTCCAGACGGCCTCCTCGAGCCGCGCCGTGCTGGCCATGTTGGTGGGCGAGTTGCTGTGGCTGCCCTCGGCCTCCACCACGTCGCTCTGGCTGGGCAGGTTGGGGTTGAGCAGCGCCGAGCCCGTCGAGGCGTTGGTGCAGGGCGGGTGGATGCGCGGCGGGGAGCGGTCGCCGCCGCCGGAGAGCATGGAGAACTGGTAGGAGCCGGCCGAGGTGCCGTAGTACAGGTGGTAGGAAGGGGAGCCGGCCTGGAAGGGGCCGCCCTGGGCCTGCGAGGAGCCCGGGTAGGGCGGCGGGAGGTACGTGTGGTAGCGGGAGGCCGTGGTCATGGCCGACATGCCGATGCCGATGCCGGAGCTGACGGGGGTGGGCGTGTAGGTGAAGGCCCCCGGGTAGTGCATCCGAGGGTCGGAGATGGACGGCAGCGCCGGGAAGGAGCGGTCGATGCCCACCCGGGGGTCGCTGAAGGCCGTCAGGTCGGAAGCGCCTGGGCGGGAGGGAGGGAGAGCAGACGGACAACTGTTAAAGGATCTCAAAATCCCAGGATTATTGAGGTTGGAAAAGCCCTGCGGGATCGTCTAATCCGCCCTGTGCCCCATCCCCTCCTTGTCCCCCAGCCCAGAGCACTGAGTGCCACGGCCAGGCCTTCCTGAGACACCTCCAGGGCTGGACACTCCAAACCTCCCTGGGCAGCCCCTGCCAAGGCCTCACCACCCTTTCCAGCAACAAATTCCTCCTCCTGTCCAACCTGAGCCTCCCCTGGCAGAACTTGAGACTTGTCATTCATAGGACAGTCAAATTCTGCTCCATTTTTTCTGACATCCCTGGAATTATGTCCAGTCCCTTCAAATCTTGCCCTGGTGTGCACAGATGACACAAGCAGAGCAGATCCTTCCCCTTTGGGAAGGATCCCCATCGTGACTCAGCTCAATGGAAGGTGTCAGTCCCTAGAGTTGGCACCTCTGCACGATTAAAATAACCACAATAATTATAATAATTAGGAAAAAATCTTTCCAGAAGACAAGTTCTTCTCTCAGACGAGGCAGAAGAGGAGCCATGTGCTGAAGGAAACACTTGTGAGGAGAAGCAGAGGGAAAACCAAGCTCTTGGCTCTCAACAGCTCTGAGAGCTCACCAGCTCATCAACCCACCAATGAACTTGTGTAAATTCCTTAGAAAAGCTCTTTTGCTTGCTGAATGCTTCCTTTTTGAGTTTGCCCTCCATTTTTTAAATGAATGATTAAAGGGAACACATTTCCTTTCCCTGGACACCAGCACCTTTAGGTTTAAACAGCAGGAGCTTCGGAGTAGCCAAGGTCAAAGGTGGCAGCTGAAGACCTGCCAGACTTTAAATGATGCTTCCACACCTCATTCCTGAGAAAGAAATCCAACTTCCTACCTGGACACATCACTTATCAGGTGAGGGCTTGTTCTGCCCTGGCAAAAAGCAGAATAATGACATTTAATGTCAAGATATTTCAAATATGTCCCAGATTGGGTCTTTTTCTTTGCAGGCACCGGGTCTTTGGATGGGAGGGCCTGAAAAACTCCTCCAATTTGTTCTTTGTCAGAAACTAAAAAGGGGTGTTTTTGTTTTAAAGGAAGAGTGTGTTAATAAAGAACGAGGATTTTTGCAGATTTTTCTTAAATTAAGAAATTACCTTTTTTTTTTTTTTTTACTTTCCCTCTGGAAGGTTTTCTGTATTTTCAGCTGTTTCTAGGAGGCAATTAACACTTAATCCCAACAAATAATTTACTTTTGCTGTGCATCCTCCCCATGAGTCTTTCAAAGCAGGCTCTACACAACAACAAAACAGGCTGGAGCACGTTCAAGTGGCTCTCTCTGATCTCAGAAGAAGCCCTGAGTATTCAAACCAGAGCAAGATGTGCAGCCAAAGGAGGGATTTTTTTTGCAAAGGCTGTATGCAAATTGGAATTTTATGGCTCTCATTGGTTCTGAGACAACCCCTGCTGCTGCACACACACAGATTGGGTCAATATGTGTGGGTCTGAGGCAGCACGTGGGCACTTGGGATGGTGGAACCAGGGGGTGGTTTTCACTTCCAGGTTTTCTCTGGTGGCTTGTAAAGCTCTGCAGCAGAGTTTGATGGAGATATAACACGACAATCCAGTGCAATACCTAAAATATCAACCCCCCCCATCCTGCAGTCAGTGTGTCCACCCATAACCTGCTGTGCTCTGGCCTGGATTTAAAAGGAGGGAGGGAAACAGGACTGGAATATCTGTGGCATTCATTGCTTGGCAGAAAGGAGAACTCTTCAGCAATCCAAACTTTTTTTTTTTATAGCCCCATCCACCTTCAAAGTGCTGCTTTCTCCTCTTTTTTTCATTTTTTTTGCCAATGGTGTGTTGAGTCCCAAACCCAGGAGCAACCTGGGCTAGTGGAAGGTGTCCCAGAGGGGTTTACCTGCTATATTAACTACATGCTACAGATGTATATTTTGAAACTAATGCTGTGCAAACAAACAAACGAATCTTTCTGCTTTCTGTTGAAAAACCTCTTGCTCAGTAGAACCACTGATGTTAATGAATAAGGTAAAGTTCTTTGCTGAGCTGAGCATTTCTTGTGCTATGGTTGCTGGCCATAGTTAAGCTCACCTCAATAATTTCTCAGGTGCTCTGACTTAAATGTAGCATAGAAGAGGAAATGGTAGCAATTCTTAAGGATTGGGTCTTTTTCAAGAGGTGAAATATGTGTGTACCACAACCCTGGGTCATGTCAATATGGAATCAGTGACTGGAAGCACCTTAAAATGATTACACTGATCCCTTTAAGGTCCTTTAAGGTCCTTTCCAACCCAAGCCAGTCTGTGGTTCAGGTTGGACATGAGGAGGAATTTGTTGCTGGAAAGGGTGGTGAGGCCTTGGCAGGGGCTGCCCAGGGAGGTTTGGAGTGCCCAGCCCTGGAGGTGTCCCAGGAAGGCCTGGCCGTGGCACTCAGTGCTCTGGGCTGGGGGACAAGGTGGGGATGGGGCACAGGGGGGATCCATGGGCTGGGAGGGCTTTTCCAAACCCCAATAATTCTGAAATTCATTGATTAAAAGGTGACTCATTTATCAAAACGTGATTCATTCCCTAAAAGTCGATTCATTCTTTCCTCTTTGCACAAACCCCCCTCAGACCCCGGGGCGGGTTTTACCGCCGGAGAAGAGCCGTGGTGGCATTTGGGGGACAACACCACCAGAGCCAACATCCAGGGGGATTGGGAACCTTCCCTTTGGCACAGAGGGAGTGGGATTTGGGTACTCACTGGAGAGGCGGCTGGAGAGCTCGGCGGTGAGCGAGGACATGCCGCCGGCCCTGCCCGGCGAGATCGGCGTGGCCGGGTGCACCGAGGGCGCGGCGATGGAGCCCAGGTACTGGTAGGACTGGTCGTAGGACCACGGCGGGGACGGCTGCACCTGCCTCGTGTCTGCAACCAAAAAGAGACCTATAGGCCGTTGGGAATGGCAAAACTCGGCAAAACTCGGCAAAACTCGGCAAAACCCAAAACCTCCGCGTGCCCCAAAGCGGAGCCTGAAGAGCGCCCCGGTGATCCCATCTCAGCACCATCGCCCCTCCCCTCTGTCAGGACACCTGTGAGTGAAGGGCTTTCTAAAATATTATCTGTATTTTTTCTATTTTTTTTCTATTTTTTCTATTTTTTCTATTTTTTTCTAATTTTTTTCTATTTTTTCCTATTTTTTCCTAATTTTTTTCTAATTTTTTCTATTTTTTTCCCTAATTTTTTTCTATTTTTTCTATTTTTTCTATTTTTTTCTATTTTTCTATTTTTTCTATTTTTTTCTAATTTTTTTATTTTTTCTATTTTTTCTATTTTTTCCTAATTTTTTCTATTTTTTTCTATTTTTTTCTATTTTTTTCTATTTTTTCTATTTTTTCTATTTTTTCTATTTTTTCTATTTTTTCTATTTTTTCCTAATTTTTTCTAATTTTTTCTAATTTTTTTCTATTTTTTTCTATTTTTTCTATTTTTTTCTATTTTTTCTATTTTTTCCTAATTTTTTCTAATTTTTTCTAATTTTTTCTAATTTTTTTCCTAATTTTTTTCTATTTTTTCTATTTTTCTATTTTTTCCTATTTTTTTCCTAATTTTTTTCTAATTTTTTCTAATTTTTTTCCTTATTTTTTCTATTTTTTTCCTAATTTTTTTCCATTTTTTTCTATTTTTTCCTATTTTTTTCCTAATTTTTTTCGTTTGCTGTTTCACATTAACGGCGGGAAAGGAAATAATTCGGATTGGGATTTCCCAGGGGAAAAGCCATTAGGATTTGGGGTTGTGGGCTCGTAGCCCCTTTTAGCCAAAAAAAAAAGGTGCCCTGCAGGGCAGCAAGGAGACAAAACTGCTGGACTGGGAGTGTTTCTCTGCAAGGGTGTAAATAGAGAGAGGAAAACGTGATGAAATCGTGTTTGTGTGTGAGAGAGAGACAGAGGTGGAGGGTGACACCACTCCAAATAAATCAGTTTATCTCCAGAAGGCAGATCAAGTGGGTGAATAGGACTGGGGGATGTGAATTCCTCAGCCTATGGAAAATCCTGGGCTTTATGAAAGGAACAAGGATTTTGTCCGTCTGCTTTGCACACCCTAAAATACGGAAATAAATTCAGAGTGATGGGCACAGACAGGGAAACACAAATTTCAGAAGCACAAAGCCTCACACCGGATCCGTGGCACTGCTGGGCTGAAAATCATGGAATCATGGAATGGTTTGGGTTGGGAGGGACCTTAAAATAATACGGTGCCACCCCCTGCCATGGGCAGGGACACCTTCCACCAGCCCAGGGTGCTCCAAGCCCCGTCCAACCTGGCCTTGGACACTTCCAGGGATCCAGGGGCAGCCACAGCTTCCCTGGGAATTCTATCCCAGCCCCTCCCCACCCTCCCAGCCAGGAATTCCTTCCCAATATCCCATCTAAACCCTACTGTCTGTCAGTTTGAAGCTGTGATGCAATTCCTGCTATTTTTCAGTGTACGGAAATGTCTAATTTTTGTATAAATCGAAAGAATCAGAGAGATTCCTCCCCTCCCCCCTCCCTTTACCTACCCAGATTTTTTTTTTAACCTATTTTTAGTAAATTCTTTTCTATTTCCTTCAGCTTTAAGAGCCGCAGCTCCATCCAGATAATTGCCTTTATTGAAAAAAAAAAAAGGCAAAAACGTTGGATGAACTGTGCTCAGATAAAACTGATACCAGTGTGGAAGGGAAACTTCCCAAGTCTGAGATGAGGGCTTTGATCTTCCATCAGAGAGCCCATCTGGAAAAAATTATTTTGTTGTTCTTGTGGGAGATGGGTTTTCCATTTTGTTTGCTTCATCTGTTTACAAGGGGGAAGATTTATACAGAACTCCAAGCTTTTAAAAAGTAACCAGTGAAGTCGCAGATTGAACCGAAGTCAAGATTTTTTTTTTTTGCTGAGCAACGTGTTCAAATTCAGATATTGTTAATATTTAATTATTTCTTTTCCAGACAGGCTTTCTTAAAATCAGTTGGCTCGTGCTGGTTTAAAAGCAACATCCCAATTGCAGGGAATGGACTCCAGTAGGAACAAAAAGACCCGGCACAAAGCCTGGAATGTTCTGAGTTGCAGCATCACCTGATTGTTAATGTATGGCCAGTGTTTATTAAAGATCACAGGGAGGGAGAAGAGGGAATTCAGTCTCCAGGGGTGGCATTAGGATAAATACCACAGAGCATCTACAGACTGAGCCTTGTAATGGTGGGACACCACGTGTTTCAACCCTGAAACGGGGTTAATTAAGTCATTACTCCCTTATTCCAGCCTGAAATCCCAGATTTCAGTACAGCATCCAAGTGCTGAGAGTAGAATCCCAGCCATGGGATGGAAATTCCCTCGTCTGTTCCTCCTGCCCAGGGAGGCCTGGATGTGCTCTGCCACAGGAACAGTGTCTCTCTCACCTCTCTGTCAAGGGCTCTGCTCAACTGCATCCCAGAATCCCAGAATTACTGAGGTTGGAAAAGCCCTTCAAGGTCATCCAGTCCCCCCTGTGCCTCATCCTCACCTTGTCCCCCAGCCCAGAGCACTGAGTGCCACGGCCAGGCCTTCCTGGGACACCTCCAGGGCTGGGCACTCCAAACCTCCCTGGGCAGCCCCTGCCAAGGCCTCACCACCCTTTCCTTCAAGGAATTCCTCCTCAATAAGAAGTAGCAGAATCCCTCTGTCTGGGATTGTTTTATCACTGCAGGGAAGAGAGGAAAAGGCTCCTGGGAGTGACCTGGGTGTGTGTGAAGGGGGAGCTGCCCCCCATCCTTGCTTTTCAGGCTGAAAGAAGAGAATATTCTGTTTTTTCCTTTTGTGGTGGGGCAGCTCCCTCTGACACTTTTCTCCTTTTCTCTTGTCCTTCATCCCAAGAGACGTGGTTTTTTCCTGTGCCTTGCCCAGCCCTCCTGAGATCCTGGTCCATAAACCAGCTCCAAGGGCAATAAATGCATGAACAACAGTAAGAAGATGCAGAAAAACTCACAGCAGCTGCCACAGAGGAAGCAAGACCTTGTCATGGATTTAGTAAACACTGAAAAGACTCCACTGAAATATGATTTCTTTCTTTTAGTGCCACCAGAATTAGCATCACAGAGTCCCAGGATGGGTCAGGTTGGAGGGGCCCACAGAGGGTCACCTGCTCCAGCAGGGCCATCCCAGAGCACATGGCACAGGATGGGTCTGGAATATCCCCAGGGAGGAGACTCCACACCCTCTGGACAATCTGTTCAGGGCTGGGGCACTGCCCAGCAAGGAAGTTCTTCCTCCTGTCCAGCTGGAACTCCCTGGGCATCAGTTCCTGCCCCTTCCTCCTGTGCCATTGCTGGGCCCCCCCGAGCAGAGCCTGCTCCATCCTCTGCCCCCTCCCTGCAGCCCCTACAGACCTGGGGGAGGTCCCCTCAGTGTCTGCTCTGGAGGCTGAACAGCCCCAGCTCCCTCAGCCTGTCCTGCTCCCAGAGATGCTCCATCCCTTGGGCATTTTTGTCACCTCCCCCTGGCCCTGCTGCAGGAGCTCCGTGTCCTGAGGAGCCAGAACTGGGCACAGCTCTCCAGATGTGCCTCCCCAGGGCTGAGCAGAGGGGCAGGATCCCCTCCCTGCCCCCCAAAGCACAGGACACCAGGACACAAAGTTCCACCCTCCCTAAAAACCAGGTGAACGGACCCAGAACATCCAGGAACACCCAAGAAGAGCCTTTAGCTGAGGTACCCGACCTGCCTCATCCATTTGCTGGGATTATTGACCTCTGGGCTACTTGAAGCAGTGACAGCCCGCCACAGAGACCCTCTTTATTAATCTCCTCATCCCATTAAGTCTTCCTTAAGTGAAGGTTCAAACTACCAATCAATTTTCCATCTTGGTACCTGTATTTCCCCATCCCTGTGCTTGCTCTTAAGGATTCACCTTTTGACATCAGCCTGGTTAAAGGAGCTGCAATCCATTCAGGGATGTTAATATAGTGCATTATTTTATATACACACATGAAAGCAGGTTGTGCTGACTAACCCCAGGCATCACCCTCACGGTTTTTTTAATAATAAGTGGAAAAAAGGATCCCTGGAATAGCATTTTTATGGCATGGTTTCATTATCAAGAGGCACACTCAGCTCCCAGTAAAGCTTTTGCATTTCCAGCAGCTTCAGCAGGATCTGGACTTGGCGGGGGGGGGACCCTCAAGCAGTGTTTTATTTCTGGGATATCTGCTTTCCTTCAGCTTTCAGGTTGCCCAAAATTAAACGGGAATGGGTTGGAATTGGACACAGGACGAGGCTGCACAAAAAAAAAAAGCAACGAACCCTTTCTTGCTTTCCCAATAAAGAGGAGCACACAAAGTTCATTTGGTGAAAACACGCTGCAAATAAACGGGAGCTGCTTCCCGACTCGGAATATCCGTGGTTTGCAGGGAGAGCTACTTCAACAAAGGGCTTTGGGCCCACAGGATCCCCAAAATCACTGAAAAGCAGATCAAACCAACACCAAAGTTGCTCCAGTCGGTGCCCGATCCTCCCATTAGCGACTACTTTCCATTTCTGCTTTTTTTTTACGGTGTGAGAAAACCGTCTTTAAAAAAAAAAAACCAACACGAAAACAAGTCATTAATCGCTCCAGACCCCTCCGGGGCGAGAGTTATGGTGCAATAATTCACACCTCTCCGTGCCCGGCCTCTCTCTCTGCCTCCTCTCTCTGCCTCCCCTCCTTTAACAACCCCATTAAGCACAAAGGGCTGAACCGCCTTTCGTGCCCCGTCCTGTTTTATTGCCCCGAAAAAAGTCGGGTTCGCCTCGCGCTCGGCAGCTCTAATTAAAGCCGCGCGAACGTTGCGTAATTAATGGTTTTAACGAAACGCGCTTTGGGGGGAGACCGGGCGGGGAAAATAAACAGGAGCCGGTCTCCAATTCGGGGCTGCTCCTTAT